TCTTTAGTACTGTTTAATTGTTCAGCCAAATATTTTTTTATTAATAAAGGCTAAAAAAAACAAAAAAAAACTACTGAACTAATAATTACACAACACAGTCTAACCTTTAAGTTAACATTTTGTAAAAAATTGCCTATACTTTACTCCTTAATAAATGGTCGGCACAATAGTCAATACTATAAAATGTATACAGTATATAGACTTAATGTGGCAATATGATAAAGAGTTAATAAATAAATACAGCTTTTATTAATTAAAAATACTGAACCAGAAATAGTTTGAATAGAAAATACTTTTTATATTAGTTTTTAAATAGTTGTATTTTGTGTTATCTATCGACTGAACTCAATATATGGAACGCGTATTGCCTATAGTCGGCTGTTTATGAAAATGTCCCCTGGTAGGAAGCTACCATTTTGTGTACTTTTATTGTTTTATCCATGATGTTTATTGTTTTTTCTATGATTTATCATATATATATATGACGGTGTTATCATCACCTAACCTAACATTTTAATACATATCATGGAAAAATTACGTATCATTTTTACTTTCTATGAAATTGTACACAAAATGGCTGCCTCCCAGGTGGGGACATTTTTCAATCTGAATAAGCGTTCCATATATTGAATTCGGTGAAACTGTCTCATTGATACTACAGAAAACGCACAAGGTGCCGAGGTGGATTAATATCACAGAATAAATAATAATTTGTTCTGTGTTGATATTCATCTACGCTAGTAACGAATCGTTAGGTCTATTCTCTGTGTAAGACCGTGATTAGACCACGGTAAGTGGTAACTTATGGTTGAAATTGAAAAAAAAAACGATTTACTAGGGCTCATGTTTGTTCATACATAACAGCAGCTAATGATCGTACGAATATTCAATACGTACAGGTACACCGCACCGCTAGGAACACAGCAGAAAAAACAGATAAGAAGACATCACCCATTTAATATACCGGGTGATTGGTTAACTATGGACCACTCAATATCCTAGAAGATATTCGACTTTTTTATATATATATTTTTTAAACTTTTATAGTTATTATATATATGTATGTAATTTGTAATGAACCCAAGTACTCGCATTTAGTAATTGAGTATAATAATATTCAGTAGCGGGTATAATCGAAATACTGAATGCTTTAAAGTTTTATGGAATTCGTTAATAATGAATGTAAGTTTTTTTTTATAAAAAAAAAAAATTTCAGAACTATTATAAAAGATTCATAAAATTGTTTACTGTCAGCACGAAATGTATAAATATTTGACATTTAAGTTGATTCAGAATTTTCCAAGTCAACTGCGCCATCACCATAAAGCACTATAAGTTAAATTACAATCCGTCAAATATAGTACCATCAAACTTTATTCAAACAAATATTATAAAGTTACTCACGGCCAAATTAACAAGAATTTTTTTATTTTACAAATTGAATTATTTAGTATACTTCCTAAAAAAAAAAAGTTTTGGTACCAAACTTTTATTCCTTAAAACGCACACTGATTTATATGTGAAAAATACACATTCTGTATAGAATGTTTTTTTTTTATAAACTGCTGTTGCGTATGTTTTACAAAAAAAAAAAAGACTAACCAAAATGACGGGCTTAAGTGTTTTTCCTAAGTAGAATTTTTTCTGAAATTTAAACTCACTTATAAATCTGTCGGATTTATGAAAGATCTTTTACTAGTTGGCGGTTATTTATATGATGCAAAGAAAATTCAACTCACTTTGTTGATGTCTGCTTTTCATTTTTATTTTTAAACTTAAAACGTAAATTACATTTATGATGATTACATCATCGTCATTTTTACAGTGCATCGGAACCCATGCCGTCGCCGCTATGACTTATATTGAGTTTACGGTATACATAACGCATTTCCCTAAAGATATACAGCGAAATCGACCGAAAACCTATTAAAATGGATGATTATTGTCTTAGTGTTGCAGAGCTTACAGTGGAATAGCCAAGTATATTATTGTCTACATTTATCAGATTTTAAGTGATTTTAATAACAGGGCCCTTTACCTCGGAAGTGCCGAACAACTAAACAAAATATACAAACCGTTATTGGCCACATTTGTTCAATGTCGATTAAATTGTTGTATATTCGCTCTATACTATGAACTATGCGCACTTGAGACGATAAGAATCAAACGCGATCGCCTTGACAGAATTTCTGATATATTATGCATAGCAATTTGGAGACATGAATAATTTGGTAGCAGCTAATAAAAGTAAAGCCACTTTGTGAATAGGTAAAGGTCGTATTTAATTTTACTACGTACACACTATTCACGTTTCTCGATTGCGACTAAAAGCGCCTAACACGCAAGCTGACCCCATTTGAGTCTATACGGTTTTAAGTTGCTGAAGCTGCCATTACCATAGACAGTATAATACATATATATATATATATATATATATATTATTCAAACACACTCAGGTGTCTGTATAGTAATGACACGTCTAATTCTCCATATGTATACAGAGTGATTATTTTATCATGAACCAGTCAATATCTCACTGAGTTTAATTAATAATTGAATTTTTTTTTCATATTGTTTTTATACAATGTGATCTCAATTTTTCACATTTTTTTTTGTTTTTACCCCCTCCCAACTTAGATTTGTTGATCACAACTTTTGAAACTTAAATGGCTGAAAAATGCGCGCAGATAAAAATAATACTACACTTTACTACACTTCCCCTCTCATCCTAACTTTTGAACTCATATAACTTCAAAAATAGTCATCCGAAACTGGTTATCGACCAGTCAAAATGTGTAATACACTATTCTCTATTTAAAAAGGTAATAAAATATATACGTTACCATATAAGTTTCAAAAGTTGCTATCAACAAATTTATGTTGGAAGGGGGGTAAAAACAAAAAAAATTGTGAAAAATTGAAATCATATTGAATAAAAACAATATGAAAAAAAAATGCATTTATTAATTAAACCCAGTGAGATATTGACTGGTTCGTGATAAAAGAATCACTCTGTATATTATCATTTATCGGTTTAAAGTCTTAAACAAACAGAGAACTAGTCGTATCATTTATATATATATTTATACACAGTGACGGATCTAGGGGTTCTCCAAGGGGGGAGCGAATTTTCGTTTTTCGAACTTTCATAGAAAATAGCTACAACAAGTTTGTTTAAATTTAAATATATACTTATAATTAAGTAAAGTACAATATTCAGATATTTTTAATATAAAATCAATGCATCTTTTTTTTTTTAGCAAATCTTTCAATAATATCATCTACATTTAAGGGGATTTGATACCGGCCGTTTTTTTCAGTCAAAACACATAATTTTTTGTCCATCGTACAGGCCGAACCAGTGATCCGATAAGTAGTTTAAAAACAGATTTGAATTCGCCATTAAGTTTACTTAGCATCGGTCAGAGTATTTTTTAAAATTTTTAATATTATCCCTTTCCAAATTTGAATTACAAATTAAAAAAAAGTACACTGACCGACTAAACTTCATGACGAATTCAAATCTGTTTTCAGTGACGGAACAAAAAATGTACATTATATTAAATAAAATGGCTTTTACACATAGACAAAATTATTTTAATTAAAAAATAATATCACGAAGCTTATACAAATTAACAGGTAAATTAATTGACATGGTCCTAATTTATTACAACCACTTTTTTCTTGGGCCAAAACTTGGGCCAAGGGGGGGGGCGATCGCTCCATCGCCTCCCTCAAATCCGCCACTGTTTATACAACATAACTGGACTTGATTTTTTGCGGAGTTTATACATGTGTGTCTGTGTTGTGCGTAGGATAAAAGTTTACAGAAAAAACGTAGCCTGTCAAACGTTAAAAGTTGTCTCGGGACTAGATGCAAATGATATAATATTATGTTGTCAATTATGGAAAGTATTTTGGAATATAAAATTACGGAAATGAATGTTCGATAAAAGGTCGCCTACTGTTTTTACTGTCAACCAAATGCCGCTTTCCACTTATTCGAGATAGAAATATACTGCGCCACGGCATCGACCAATTATTAATGTAGTTTGACTGGAGTTTCATTGTCCAGACCGTTTTAATATTAATTCTATTGTAATATTAAAGATATATATATATATATATGATTATATAATCTAAGGCAATAGATGGGTTTTAATTTGCCAGAAACTCAAACGAAATCAATTAAAAAACATTTGTAGGTACAGTAATTATATTATACATTTGAATTTCGATCCTTCAAATAAAAGCTGTCAAAAAGAGTTTCGAATGACAGACAGTTTAATGGTGGGCGGTATTAATGAAATAAATTGTAAGAGAACAAGATACAAACCAATTTTGATTCTCGTCGTCACGTCGCTTCTCCTAATTTAACTTTTACATAAGTTTATTGTTTTTAATGACCAAGAAACGCTAATTAAAAAAAAATGTAGATTAATTACTATTGTTTGAACCAGGTTAAGGAACTAAGTAAGTACTGGTATTACAGCCTAACAGTGTGTCTATAAGGCTGTTAAAGACAATTCGGGCAATATTATTGATACTCAACAACATAAATAGGTATAACATCTTAAAGTTTTTATTGTGGCTACAATATCAAACCATTGAAAACATATGACCAGTACTTTAGAATCTTGTAAACAGATACTTCTTAAATATAATACAAATTAAAAGTGCCATAAAAAAACTAAAACTGGAAATATAGTTGTATAACAAAAACATTGAAGATGATGCATACAGGGCAGTCGGTTTAGATTTGTATCATCACTATTTTTAGCTGCCAATGGTGTAGATTGTAATTAACAATTACAATTTGTTTTTGAAGTAATATTATTATAATATAACAAAACCAATTATTAGTTTTAATGATACCAAATCGAATAGAAGATTGGTTATTTTTTTGTAAACTAGTTTCATTTTAAAAACTAGTATTACACAATAATGGTCAATGGATCAGAAAAATGACTAACAATTTAGGCAAAGTACTATAACCAATGTATTGTATGACGGTCCAGAACCGGTTTAATCTTTCTAATTGGATCATATTTGAAGGCGTAGGAAGGCTTGATTATGTATTTTATCGGATATTTGTCTTGTTTTATTGGCGCCATACCATGTATATAAAGTGATCGAACTTTATTGTACGTAAATCTAAAAAAAATAACACTTATTTCGAAATAAACAAATGGTTCCAAAGTATTCTTAACACAATATAGGCAATTGAAAATATGAAAACTTGTTTCAACCAGAACAGTCTGAAAAATTAGTAAATACATTTAAAGTTTTAAAGATATTCTGTACTTGTTTAATGAAACAGTAAAATATAATCACATACTTCTGATTTTTCTTTAAAGCCATAGAAATGTTATCGGCTTCTTCGTGGAGAATATGTTTACGGATTCCGTAATAAAACACTTTAGTATAATCATTCCAATCAAAGTTGTGCATACTAAACGGAAATAATTGTTGGTCCTCCTGGCTTAGTGAACACCATAATTCTCGTGTATTATTATTATAAAATTTCCATTCATTCAGGGTAAATGGTCTAAGTAAATGCATTATCTTCCCTGTTTTGTCATACAGTTTCCAAAATCTAAAATAAGTTAAATACAAAAATTAAGTTATCTGCATAGAATTGTGAATGCAAATTAAATAAAAAAGACTACACAACGCAAAAAAGGTTATGTTAAAAATGATCTATATATTTGCATTGCGATCAACTAGGTACGTCTATAAAAAAGTTTTTTGTTTTCCAAAATAAAATTATATCCACTTTGACATTTTTAAAATCGTATAAATATCTACAGGGTATCTTCTTGGGTAAACTCAATACTTCAGGCATCGACTCCCAAGATTAGGAGTATAATACATTTCAAACTTAAATTATTTAAATGCTCATTTTAACTCTAGTCTTATTTCAATTACCTACAAGATTTCATTGACTTCAAAAATTGACGACACACTTCAGGTTAACAAAATAAAAAAATATATTATAGTTGAGAAGCTAAACTTACTTCGGTTTTTTCGACATCAAAATAAGTATAAAATCATTATGTTAAAAATGCTCCATAGATTTTTAGTACCATAAACTAGGTACGTCTATAAAAAATGTTTAGGTTTTTCCAAAATAAAATAATAAACCACTTTGACATTCTCAAAATTTTTGAAAATGTTTTCAATAATACATTTCCTACTTAAATTATTTAAATGCTTAAATGGCGTGGCGTCCTTTAACTCTAGTCTTATTTCAATTACAAGATTTCATTGACTTCGAAAATTGACCACACTTTATACGTTAACAAAAAAATGTATTATAATTGACAAGCTAAACTTACTTCGGTTTTTTCGACATCAAAATAAGTATAAAATCAAAGACTATAGCAGGTATACGATGTATAAGTAGCCTTAATATGATTCCAAACCAATTATGAGTGTAAGTAGTGAAACAGTAATACCATGTAGCACTAATTGGTGGTGCAACTTTGTAGGAATTAAAAATTCCATTTATGAGCTGTTCCCATGCTAATGGGCTTTCAGCAGATGACACATAATTGAATATTTTTGGTTTCTCTGGGTTTGAATTTTTGAACCTAAAAAGTCAACTTTAATTTAAAATCCAGATCACACAAATCAGTCGTAATAAATACCTGTTCACTGTATCCCACATCGTTGATATCAAAGCATTCACTGTGTAGTCTGCGGGTATTAAATCTGTTATTTTTTCTGTTTTTATTGGGAATACTCTGAGAAATCCTACTATAATTCCAGCAAATACCCCTGATGGGCCGTTCATATTTTCTAAGTGCCCAGGGTCCGGTTCCAAATATGTGCTACCAACTAAAACAAAAAACGCGTATGTCATGAAAGTTGAACATTAAAATTTTTTACGCTAAAACAGTTCTAAATATTTTTTTTAAAAACCAATTAATATGTCATGATTTTTTTCTAGTTCCCTATTCCTGATTTGTAACTTCTATCACCTTGAGTCTCAATAATATATTCGCATTAATTTTTTTTAATAACCTGGAGGTTTTGCTTCTAACACGGTTGTATGGACCCCTGCCAACGCCTCAACAAATATAATTTTTAATACAATTAACTTTAAAGCTAATTTTTATTTCTATAGTTATTACAATTTTGTATAGCACATGTAACATGGTATATAACAGCAACAATTTGTAAAATCTATCTATTAAATGTAGGGAGCAGGTGATTTTATCATTAGGCAGGTATTGGTAGCAACAGAAGTCCTGTCTATAACTACAAGACAGAGTTTAATTGGATACGGCATATAATGGTCCATTAAGCTGTATATGATGATAATGAGTTATCAATTTGATGTATTTTCGGTGAAGAATTTAATTTTTAAATACTGTATATTTTGAAAAATCTGTCTAGGGAGTTAATTATAAACAAATTAGAAAAATGGTAACCAATTACACAATTTTTTTAAACAAAAAAAATTTTGTATTTAATTTAACTCGTGATAAATTAGGTACATCTCACAACTACAAGCTTTCAGTTTTCATTACAATTATAACTAAAAATCGCGGACAGTAATTATAATTTAAAAATTTGTTTACAATTTCCCCATTTGACTTTAATTATTGTAAAAAAAAAAATATTTGTAATACAGTTCTATGAGGAACCGGACATAAATATTATGTTAATACCTATTGATGGACGAAACACTGCGATTGGCAACCGTTTATCAAATGATAGAATCAAATTTTCAGTGACAGCTTTTGTAAAAGTATACGTATTAGGCCAGTCTTTTGCAATGCTTTAAACAAAAAAATTTGGTTTATATAATTATACAACGAACAATAATATAAATAAGTGAATAAAACTTACTCGGATGATAGACTGTTAAGTTTTATTTTCTGTTTTAGTTCACTTGCTGAAATTGGAGTAGGATAAAACTGTTCTTTAATTTCAGTTTTATGACAATGCGAATAAGCAGTAGATACATGAACGAATCCCTAAAAGAAATTCACGTAAAATTTTAAATAATATTATAATATTTGTATTTAAGCTTTAACGAAAAATGTAAAATATTGTTTTAATGGCTAATTGAACAGATTATATTTGTTAATGACACGTCATAGCATTATGGTATTTCTATTAGAACATGCTGAATATATTTCTAACAATGAAAGATTTTATGACCTAATTTAAATTTGTATGTAAACAGTTAATTTGTAGCTTGAAAATTAAAATATTAGTTTATACTTAAAATACCAAACGTCTATGCTCATTCATTATACAATGTCAGCTTTCTTTTAGACAAAGAACTAAAAATTAAGACCATATCCAGGAAAAGTGAGAAAAACAAGAATATTGTTGAAACTAGTTTTAGTTAAATAAGAATCATGTTTTGTATGGGTTAAACTGTGTTGAAAACAGTAAATATACCTTTATATTTTCTACTGTTTAGTGAATTTTTATCTTTATACCCTTAATTTACATTAACTTTAATTTTGTTAAAAATATATACAAATATTAGTTTTTGAATAAGCTAAGTATAATATTGTTTATTGAGCACTTATTTTATTTAAAACATAAAAATAACCATGCATATGTATCGTACATTGTATTTTTTGTATAAGTGAATTATCTGCTTGCCATTGAATTTTGAAATAACGAGCTTTTTTTTAATTAATGTGTAGGAAAACAAATACAAATATTCATTCAGTGTTTTTTACTAGTTTAATCATTATTAAGCCATGTTATTATAAATATTATTACCTTCAGCGCTTCCATTTGTGTAGCTATGTTCAAAAGTTGTTCAGTTCCTTCGATGTTAACTTTAGTTGCAACTTCAATAGGTTCGTCGAATCTTAAAGTGGCAGCACAATGAAAAATATAATTAACATTTTTCACAAGCCAGTCATGATCAACGGTTGATAGACCTAACGAAAATGCCGTCAATTCTCCATCAATAACTTTAATATAATTCGTGAAGTTTGGCCTTTCTTTTCGTAACCGATCGAACATCTATAAGTAAAAACACCCAGTAAACTATTGTTGTAAAAATTCAAAATTTGTAAAACCGCAATGGATATAGGGGTCGACTAGAAAAAACTTAATATGTAAAATTACAGTAGGTGGTAAAAACATAATTTTTTTTTAAGAAATATAATATAGTATTTGTTTTAAATAGTTTTAATAAATACATTTAAAAGTAAAACTAGAACAATAACATTCGTATTTATTTTACAGTGATGATTTTTAAAAAAAACTATTTGTATTGTTTTAAGCAGCTCTGAGCAAATTAAAAAAACACTATACCGTAGACTGTACTCACTTTTTCATTGTACATATTTGTGGCCCTTTGTTCAGCCGTCAAACCTTTTTTACTTCTTACTATAATAGCAATATTTGTTGTTCCTTTGCAAGACCGCAGTAACTTTTCCGTAAGAAGTTTTCCTAGAAATCCTGTGCTTCCGGTTATTAAAACCGTACCACTATTAAACATATCAACAATATTCGACCCCATTTTGTGATTCCAAAAAAAAAAAAAGTCTGTTACGTTTGTTAAAATAAATCTATGTTGGGTTATAATAAAATAATGTTATGTTAGCAGAGCTAAGGTGAAACAAGTACTACTGAAATTATAAATACAACTCTCGAAGATATACCAGATACCTACTGTAGTTCAAGGTTGGGTTATTATTTTTTCCAGTTCACATTTCTGTTTGATGTGGAGTTGAGAAGGTATTGTTTTTACAATGATGTATTTTTATTTTTTATAATTTTAAATTTGTGTCTAGACTTATGTAATATGGATTAGAAATCATACCTGAAGGGTACTTTATTGTACCAAAAATAAAAAAAATTCACCCTTTCCCCTTCAAATTAGAAAGTACCCAAAAACGTACATATTTATTAACTTAAAGTTACGATGCTCTAAAACTTTTTTAAAAATAGTCTAATTATTTTCAAATTTGTATAGAATATTTTTTAAATATAGTACTATTGATAAACATTAACAAAACCATAAAAATATCATAAACCCATACCCCTAGAAAGGATAGACACTTTTTTAAGTAAAGTTTTAGGGATTTAGGTCTGAAAGTTAGACCAAATGTAGTTCTAGAGACTAGAATGGAACTATAACGGTCAACCCTAATCGGATTCACCCTAATATTAATAATACATTTTTAATAATTTGGATCATGGGGTCATTCCACGTGAAATCACCTAATGGGTGTGCGAGTATACTTCAAAAATGTTTGAAATTTTTATCATTCATTCTTTATAGGTCCTTAATAATAAAAAAAATTGTTTTGTACCTAGGTAGGTCAATTTTTAAAAAAAATTATCCAAAAACACCTCATGTTCCCGACTCTGTAATTTAACCGCCGATAGTGGTATATACATGAAACCTGCACAGTTAAAATTCTAATTAAGTGTACTTTAACCATTTTTTATGAAAAAATATATATTTTTTTAACCCTAAAATTTTTTTTTTAATTTTTAAATTTTTTAAAAACTTTTTTTGGGGTCAAAGAGTTAAAAATTAAAAACAAATATTTTGTATACATAATATTTAATTTATGTTCTAAGAACAATATCATCTTTGAACCAATTAATTTTTTTTTGCCATTATTTACGGCTTCAAACATGTGTGTTTCGCTGATAACTAATTAATTTAATGACCCACAACACAAATGTGATTGAACGAAAATTTTCCAAATTCATGCAATACTCACTTATAAGTGAATAGAATATCTGGTAAAAGTTTGATGATGGAGAAATTATTCTAAAATTAGTGGTAAGCGTTCAAATTTTACGATTTACACTTATTGGAATTATACACAATTTACATTTACCTTTTGAACCTTTACCACTGATGTTAGAATAATTTCTCCATCACCAAACTTTTACCAGATATTCTGTTCACTTACAAGTAAGTATTGCATGAATTTGAAAATTTTTCGTTCGGTCACATTTGTGTTGTGGGTCATTCAAGTAGGTAGTTATCAGCGAAATACACATGTTTGAAGCCGTAAATAATAATAAAAAAAAAAAAAATCGGTTCAAAGATGATATTGGTCATATAAATTTTATTAAAATTAATTTTACATAAATTAAATTTTATATAAACAAAATATTTGTTTTTAATTTTTAACTTTTTTATCCCAAAAAAAGTTTTTGAAAAATTAAAAAATTTCCAAGGATAAAAAAAAAAAAAATATTTTCTTAAATATTTTTGAAGTATACTCGCACACCCATTAGGTGATCTCACGTGGAATAACCCTATGTACAACGCTTTTATCGAAATTTGTATTTTTATCTGCGAACACGGGACCTCCCTTATTTACTCACCTACCTACAATACTTTTTTACTGTGCTTGGTTGGGTCTGTACTGAGTTGAACTTACTATCCACAGATTCGCATCGAAGCGTTTATTTAAAAGTGATCTTATCACTTTCAGTTATAATAATTCCTGTAGACCTGTGACCTCCCCGTTCCCACTATGCCCCGACCCCACGTACTGGATTTTTTAAATTCTATACATTATATGTTTTGTAGTTATAATCTTTTAGTATTTTGTATTGTTCATAATATTCAATTAGTAGCTAGATAATCAAATATATAATTAACAGGTTGATCGATTAGTTAATTTGATTGACAGGCTACGCAGTGGAGCACTGACTTTAATAATAATTTCCTAATAGTAATTTAACGTTACTCAGCCAATTCACGTAAATGGTTTTTCCGGTTTTAAATCAAACTGTGAGCTGTAAAATGAAATTACTTATAATAATACAGTAGTAGGTAATAAGTATGTTTACTTAATTTTGTTTATAAAAGTGTCAGTGGCGTCATAGGTAATTACGAGATATTTTGATTTGTGACTGGTTTCAAGCTGAGATTATGACGGCTAAAACTAATGACACAATGTCGATTTTTTCATTACAAATAAATGTATTATACTGCGTTTTTTTTAGAATACCTTATTCCATAAATATTCTTCAATCGCGATCAAATGATTGACCAGTTGACGCAGTCATTACGAGATTTCGTATCCGTAAAAGTTTTTATTTATTTCGTTTCACCTTATAACACAATGTATTGCGTACTTTGGTTTTTTGGTAGGTTTTGAACATAAATTCATGCTGAAGATGATTCTATGATTAACGACTTTTAAGTACATTATATTTTCAGCCTTAATGATGACAGTACAGCTCTATAACTGTGACGCGGAAAAAGAAAAAGCACCTCTTGTGATCAAAGTTAATTTCGAGAAAAACGACAAAACATTGATTAAAGACGAAAGTATTCATTTTATACTAATTATCAATAATAAATTGTACATTGGAGTCTCTAGAATAAGGGTGTAGGCCAAAACCTCTTGTCTGCCGACTACAAAGTCGCAAACTTCAAAGTACAATACTTTAGTAATTTTTATAGCTACGGAGATGTACCAGTTCTCAAATTGTTAAAATATCAGTCAAAATTCAGAATATAACACTACCTCAATTTTGGGAAATGTCGGCAAGTGAGATAAAATTAAGATAAAAATTCTGTTTGTATAAATTAAATAACTACAGATTTTGTCATAGTCGCGTGGGTAAAACCAATTTTACCGAACACATTTTTCAGGTAATAGACATATTAATTGCATAACGTTGCAAAATCAAATTATTCATTTGCTTTATAAAATAAGTATTACACACATTTTTTTTTTTAATCTCATAATTGCTTTCGCAATAATATCGAAATATAGTCGTACGTTATAACAACATTGATTAAAATTATTATCATATTGTATACATTGCTACAACCACCAATTTTAACTTAACAAAATTCATATGTAAATATTAGAGTAATTTCCCAAATATTGTAAAGGCAATCCTTTCAATACAAATCTTAATTGATTTTTCATTTCATAATCATCATGGCTGAAGAAACTAATAAATTAAAGGAATTAAAAGCAAGACGAAGAGTGTACAAAGGGATGACAACCAAGCTCTATACATGTTTTGAAAGGTTTAATGATTCTCAACCTATACAACAACTCAAAACCAGATTAGAAAAATATGAAGTATGGCAATCGTTTATGATTACTCAGGAAAAAATCGAATTACTGGATTCATCAGAAGAACAAGAAAAGGAAAGAGAAAACTTTGGAAATTATTATTATGAAATTGTCGGGCGCATCAAAGCATACATTCGTGCAGAAACGTTAACGGTTTCTTCAACAGATACTGAGTCTCTTTCAGTCATTTAACAAAAATTCAACCATTTATATACATATCGCTTGTTTACTACAACAACGACATAACACAAAAATCGTAATTTTTGAGTTGTTTGCAAATAATAATAATTTTGGTGTTTTTCTTTATACTGCAAGAACGACATAAGTGAACATTCAAAATTAGCCGCTAGGTGGCAGTTGTGACGTCATAAGTTAAAATCTTAAACTAACTCCTAATTTTATAGTAATAATATTGTTGTAGGTAAGAATAGAAAGCAAGAATATAGTGTGTTATAACACTTTACTTCTAATAAAAAAAGTTTTAAAGCAATATAAATATTAAACATGATTTTATCATAATTTCATTGTAAATAAAATGTTCAAATTCGTTTTGTGTAAAATCATGTTTTTTGTGTTATGTCGTTGTTGTAGCAAACAAGCGATATATAGTCTATGTTTGTGTATATTTTGAGCTTCTAACAGTAAATGGCGTAGGAATATTCGTTGCGTTGTCGCCAGTTCTTACCATTATAAATATTTAGGTTCCTTTTCGTTTCTATTAAATGTCCATGTGCAAAATAAAAATAGTCTTTGTCGGTATTATTCCTAGTTTGACACAACATACTATGATATTAAATTAAAAAATAATTAACACAGATTAATACATTCAAATGTATAGTATGTTTAATAGCAAAATACACAAGTAGGGACTTGAGATTAACATCATGTAATGGCTGTAGTCTAAGTCATGAATATAACGTATGTAATACACAAACGCGAATATTTTTAACGAGGCATTCCGTAAAATCGCGTGGTGAAGGGCCGGGGTTCAACTCGATGGAGTGTATTATATTTGGGTTGATGACATTACGCACAACAGAAAACTTTGTGGTCGACTGTTTTATGGTTACTCTTAATTGTATTTTACCCCATCTCGGTGATACGTGGCCGCCTAAAATTCGGGTTATTATTGTGTTAAAATCGCGCAAACCGAGTACGGACTACACGAGCGCCGAGTGTGCTTATTGTTTCTCATTCAGCAAATTACGCTTTGAACGAAAATGCATTACACGGATTCGTGGAAAGCACTGCGCGTCGTCTTTAGGATGTAATCCCAAGTTATAATTCAGTTGGCGAAGTGCATTTTAACGTTTCCTACATAATCCAATGAATAATTCAAAAGTAGAATTTTACCAAATAAATTATAAACGTACATGCATTTGGCTCCGTTACGTTATTTTATCAGTGTCAAATTTTTGACAATCTGTTGTAAATTAACTTTCAGAATTTTCGGAATCATTATTTCTATACGTTTTACCAAAATACTTTCGGGTTCGCGGAGCCCCCTACCCCCCCCCTCCCCCGAGTTAAACGGATCGA